ATTTATATATTATTTCAACTGTTTTATGCTATATTTGAATATATTAAAATGAAATATTTATCACTATTTTAAATTGAAGATAGTACGTTCTTCGATGATTTATGTTTCCATCAAAAAAATGTCTTTTTAATTATTGATTCAAAGAATCACTCTATCACATCTGATCATTATTATTTGCGTAATTTAAGACAGTTTCTGTCTCCTTATTTCAATTGTAATTTTCGCAACTTTTAGCAATGATTCTTCATAATTATTTCCATTAAAATATAAAGTCACGGATCTTTGAAAACGCGAATGATGACAATCTAACCGACCGACAGACAATGCGGAACGAATACATCAGCGACGGTTCGGCGACGAAAGCGCGGAGTGCAAAATCATGGAGGTATCGTGGCTACGCGATATTCGCATACAATGCAGCAGGCGCTGCATTGGGCAGACAATGGTCCTTTTTTCGCTCAAATGGGAACAAGGGTGAAGGGAGAGCAACGTGCGGCGTTAAAGGGAGGACGGACGGCGCTGCGCGTGTACGCCGGTACGTGATAACGTAAATCATACCTCGAAATAGATTCGAACGGTCGATCGGTGGATTGCGATGTTGGCGTGCCATAAACGCTCGAGCACAAATCCGATTTGCTCTGAAATCTTATCTAAAGCCGAGCGCTATGTGCTAATCCTGGCTCATTTCGTATCGCGATTACGTGCGGATTAGTACTTTCGGCGCCATATTCACGGGGCAACAGCAACAACTTTTACAAACAAATTTTTGCAGTGCTAATCTGTGGCTTTTCACATATGATTAACAATTTAAAGTCTCTCATACATGCACATATCATACAAAAAGAGGAAATTTGACATTAATTTTTATTTGAGAAACAAGGATTTTAAATACGTTTATATTAATTTGATTATATTTTCCATGTCATCGTACTCGAAAAAATTTTATCGTATACATTTCCGCGGATATAAATCAAATAAAATCAAACGCAGTGATTTTATTTTATTTTATTGTTATTGAACGTGCAAGGTGACCAACAACGATGGCGATTTTCCAGATGATACGACCTTCGTTTAAACAAAACGCTTAATCGACGAGCGGGAACGGCCCGATGAAATCGTGATCAGTACGCGCAATGCACCAGCAATCATTGCGCTCGCGATTCGTTTGCTAAACGAATTTGGAAAGAGGACAGACACGAGTATTGTCCGACGTTGCTCACGTTAAATACGCCGGTTTAATTACCTATTGAACGCTGTAAACGAAGTTTGGTCGTACAGATGTTGACAATGGATTCGTTTACTCGAGCGCGCACATAAATCACAGCGATGTCCCAGAATTATATCCATTACGATTATAAAATTTTATCACTTTTGCATTATAACGGAGCTTATTAACAGGCCGGAAGCCATATAGCTCAATGATATCGCCGTCGCGCGTGTTAGCAGAATGAAAATTCCGATTTTCATTAAGTGTCACTGGTTTCAATTAAAATAGGATTTTCAATTTCCTGACGGAATATCAATTAGGTACCAATTTTCCAACGACAACGTCCTGCTCCCGTTCCGCTAAGGGAAAACCCTGATTTCGATTCCGCTTTAATTACATCTGCCCAACACTGATTGCCTATTATGTGCTTCTAGACGAGTCTAACAAGCTTCGAAACCCTCTTAGTGAAGAAAGCTTTTTAGCTACAATATTCTCGATCTCCAATCACTGCATTCAGCATCACTGATACGTTTTTTTACACGATATCTTGCACAATTTAATAAGTTACATGTCGCATAAATTCGACTAGAATTCGATTCAATGCAACTTCTTAGCTTAAATTAAAATTTCGTAATTTGATAAAAATACAGGAATATTTTTTATAATTTACTTTTTCTAAAATAATATTTTTAATATTGAATACTAAAATCATGTAATTAGAATCTATAAATCGATTTCTTTTCATATTATACGTTTAGAGAGAGATTATTTTAACTTTAAAAACGTCAAACAATTGTTAATAGAAGTCTACGAGTAATAAAATAAATTGTGCGTTTTAAACTTGATAAGGATACGTTTCACTTTTAATCGTTAACGTAAAAGTTAGGTATCTTATAAGAGATTTCCATAATTCGGTGAATGAATAAAATATTGCCCGCGAGGGATCTTCCGGGGATTTTTCGCAGAGAAGTTATTCATCCCAAAATCTCTTGCGCGCAATATTCTCGTTTAATTCGATCTTTTAACCATCATCTCTGTCAGATCCGACGGGATTAGTGACGACCCGAAATTCCTTATACCGTTCTCTCGGTTCCCAATCTGCTCCCCCAATCTCACGGGGCATCATTCGTTGGCGCTCACGCGAATTCCAAGGCTTCTCGATTTCGTTGCCTTTGAGTTTATCGAGCGGATAGAATTGTCTGTGTATGCGCCATATCTGTTTCGCGATCGCTCGAGCTGCAAAAATTTTATGTGGAAACTGCAGAAACCATTCGCGAGACATGGTATTTTGGCTTCTATAATAGCCCGTCTCGGAGATGAACTTTGCAGCTCGTAGGTGGACGGTGAACAAGTATGAGAATCGATCGCATCTCAATTCGAATACAAGCAATTTTCTCGTCCTACGCGCTCTTGACGATTATATTTAGCTTATGTATATTCATTTTTTTTTTATTTGCTGCACAATATAAAATTAAAATAAATACTGTTATAAGATGATCAGTAAAATTAAGATGAAAAATAGACATATTACAATTAATCAAAATAAAATTAAATTAAAGAAGTTTAAGCTTTAGTCGTGGTTTTAGTCAGTTTATTTTATATCATTTCTCAATTGCTTTTCTAAATATGTTAACTATTATTATTTCTTAATTACTTTTTTCTTTATTTTTTTGTTTGAAAAATTTATAAAATATCTTTTACATTTTACGCAAATAGCTGTTATGATTAATGCTTTTTGTAAATAAATGTTTGACGAATAATTGCAACATACGCAAGTATATTACGAAAAAATTATAATGTAATCTTCGAGACTTACCTTTCATCTTGGTCACAGATATAAACCGCAGAAAGAACAAAGAGAAAAAAAAAGAAAAAAAGAGTGAGAGCGGAAAGAGTACGTTGCAATCCTTATCGGTAAGGGACAACACGTATAGGTCTAATTAACTTCGCGTCGGTTCCAAGGATTTAATCCTGCAGGAAAACTGTGCGCACCGGAAGGAGAAAATGTTAAGACTCTGCATCTTTCGCAATTCCGTGAAATCGCTCCCGGACAAATTGAAGATTTTCGAAGAACAGACGAAGTGAAGATGTTGATTTAATTTTTTCGCCATTGCTTCGTCGCAGTGAACAGTAAATTTTCTCAGTAAATATTCTAGTCGGAAAACGAGATTAGACATCAATGGAACACAATCGAGATTTTCAGCAATGCGCCCTGTCTGTTAGCTTCAGATTACCCTGTGCAAAATGCGAGGAAACAAGATTAGCGACAAAATTAAAGGTAATTAGACAAACAACTACCGGAAGACTGATAATACCTTATTCTATAGAATTAAAATAAGAAGAAACTACAGTATAATTAATTATGAAGAGGCGAATCCTTATTAGGGACTGACTAATTACGTTCCACTGCTTAATTATCGCAAAATTGATAAAAAATAACTTTGCTATACAGCTTTAATATCATACAATTTTTTATAAATTTTTATAAATGCTAAATTAAAAAGAAAAAAGAAACATATTGCAAAAATTTATATCCATAATAGCCTTCTGCGCTGCAGGATTTTTGTATATTTTAACGACCTCGCTAGAATTTAACTCGAGTGTCGCGACAATAAACGGAAGGCGTAATTATTTCAACAAAATTCTTTATTATTCGATAATGTTACATCAATCATTTCTTTATCAGTAATTAATTATAATCATTATCTATTTTAGTTTTATTAAATATGATTAATATGATGTATTTTTTCCAAAAGTAATAATCATTATAAGAATAATAAAAGTATGCAATACAGTATTTATGGTAATTACTTTGACATTTTCTCTTTTTTACATAGTTAATATTAAAACATTATCAAATTGCCTTCTTTAAAGCATTTCTTCTATATATATCGCATTTTACTTCGTCGAATAGAATATTAAAAAATATATTATATTATTTTTATAACATTGCTGGTGCAATATAGAACATTGATGATTAAAACAGTAAAGCAAAATTATCTCGCAAGTAATTAGCCTTTCAATATGCGCGTTATTTCAATTCCAGCGTCAGTGACTGAATTATAAAGCGACACTTACTGCTCGTTGACAAGTTGTTGGATCGGAGCTAAAAAATAATTACGATGCATACGTGGATTTCACGAATTTAATATCCGCCGATTTGTCCAACGTTGGTTTAAACGCGACGTGTTATTTTCGGATGGTATACGTTTACCAAGCCGCATAATTGCTCGCGTGCTCATCGCTCTTCTCTGCGATTAACCGTTTAATTTATCGCGACAACGAGTGAAACGTTTGAGCACGGCTATCCCAATGATAGTTACGTAAAACGGATGGACATGTTAGAGCCCGAGCAAAGGTAATTTATCGAGCACTTAGTCCCTACAGTGACGTCATTTCTCGGAGCGTGAAAGATAATCTATCATTGTGTAGCCAGACAATCGTGGATCAGGATTTGCTTTCACGATTAAAACAGTTCATTAAGGTTGAAGTAAGACGAATTGCCAGTCTATAGCACATGATCAATATATTCGTTTAAAAAGATACGATCTGACGATTAGTTGGTTCGCTAAATTTTTTTTTTCTGCAAGTATTTCAATATATTTTTTGTGAGAACGTATACGAGAACGTATACTCGTATAAAATATATATGAAACCTTCATGTCGAGAAACGTAAGTTTTAATATTAAAATTGTTTTTTTTTTATATTTCAAGAATAGCGATACCGCAATATTTACGATATCGCAACGTTCGGAGAACTAGAGTTCAAACATTTCAGCGTGCGGGTACTCACTTATATTTTTATCCCTGTATTGCGGCCGCGCATCGCCGATGAAACAGACGAAGAGCACCCACACTGCGAACCAGCACGTTCCCATTTCGACCTGAAATAAGAAGCGATATTCTTGAATAGATTTAATTAAGAATTCAATGGCGCCGCGTATAGTTTCTTTACGACAGCAATATTACCGCAGCTTTGCACGATCCTTTATTCGTAAGTAATAAGGCTATCATGATGCTACGCAGTAATAACATAAAATAAATATTAATAATGAAAGAAATTTAATTATGTCTGAAATTGAAAACTCTTGATTTTCGTTCTTCTTGACTTAATGTACAGCATATCCAATTATAGCTGAGAGTTCTTAAAAGTTTATGAAACCTTGATGGAGTTACATCAAGGTCTTACAATTAGAAACATCTACTTTAAATTTTAAGGTAGCGTAAAACAGTTAGAACAGGATCGATATATATATATATACGTGTGTGTGTGTATATATATGTGTGTATATATACATAAAGCAAGTTTGTTCACTATAAATTCTGGTTTTGCTTCCGCTTTTGCTTGCTGGGAAGGAGAATGTTGTCGTTTCCTTACTTAAACTTATTGTTTCCTCGTTGCGTCCGATCCATTATTGTGGCGGAAAGTTGCCGCCCAAAGGATAAGTATTTTAATTCATAAAAGTTTTAAATTTATATTATTTGAATATTTTAGAATTTAAAATCTTTGATATATAGGTACGACATGTCTTCGATGTCAATAATACCATCCAATTGTTCCGTTATTTTGAACACAACAGATCTTCGGTAATTGTACATCTCTCTCTCGCTTACTTTTGTAAACGATCATTGTCCATTGTGTATAAACTTCATGCAATTTTAATTTTGCCATTAGAGCAAATGTATTCGCTCGCGATCTATAGTTCGGGGGAGAAGATCGATGGTTGCATTCGCACGTTTCTATTATAACTATACGCCGGATCATCGATCCACCTCGTAATCGCTGAAGGGATAATGCGCCTGAACCGTCGAGCCCGGAGACGATCCTTTGTGGCAATCGCGCGGATAATCGAAAACCGAGAGAAAGAGACACGCAGAGTATAGAGATTCACCGCGATGGAGCACAGCTGAATATTTCCGGGTTTCCGGCGGGCGGGCACGAAGATGTTATAAAATATTTCTTTGAGGATTTCGACTGCGGAGATATATATTTCATTCGACAAGCGTTTCCGCGCGGCACGTATTCGGATCTTTGTGTCAGTTTTCGCGAATATCATTCGTGAGCCGAGCGCGAAAAAGTTCCCTCCGCATAAGACGAGAAGGAGGACGACGACGACGACGACGACGACGATGACGATTGCTTTAGCCGTGAAATTAACGGGATTTCGTTGTCACGATAATACCAGCGTGCTTCCGCGTGCGCATTTTATCACCGTTTTTTAAAGAATGCGCGCCGAACGTTCGCTCGCGACGTAATACCAGAACGTCAACTCGAGAACGTCAATCGCTTCCAGACGGTTGAAATCACTCAGCAAATTGCTGGGAAAATCCAAAGATATATAAAATATCGGCTGACATTAACAATTATGTTGAATTTATTAAAAATTTTTTTTCACATTTTTAAATAAAATTTAAATTCGATAACTTGAAATTTGATTAATTAATGATTTTATTTCGTTAATTTATTATTTAAATCTGACCATATCTGCAGTCTGCATACCTATATTTAATAAACTCGAATAAACTCGGATTAGCGTACGTAAAATTAGCGTATCACTAAAGGACAAATAACAGGATCGAAATAAGTACGGGTTCAAATAAGGCACACGTATTGTTATCGGCGTTTTCGAAAAACGTTGCAGCCGTTCTCGCATTTCATCCACTCACATACATTTCGTGAAGATGCGAGGCGGAGTGTGTCCGAAGGACAGACGTCTCCTTTTCCGAAGTAGCGGGTTATATATTCCTTCCGAAGGCTTATTTGTCGAAGGTAGCTGCCCTTTTCCGGGGAAATCCCCAGACGAGCAGCGTAAAAGTTCCTATTCTCCCTCGAAAGGAAAACATAGTCTAGTACTCGGAGAGTGCAGGTCCTCCTCTCGACCCCAGGATCATCTCGACCAAGAGTACACGAATACATGTGACCTCGCATACGCACGTACACACGTTCACACGCGCGCCCGACGGCGAAATGATACTCGCGCGCGAAGTGGCAACCCCCCCCCCCTACCTTTCTTTCCTGGCCTTCGAGGATCCTTCGAACCTTCATCGATCACTATATACCTGCCGGGGTCAACTTCTCCACGTATCTCGTTTCATGGTTAGCCGGCTCGAAAATATTCCCCATCCCTTTTCATCCCGACGGAAAAGGGCGACTTTAGTGCCGCCGTCGGGACGCGAAATTTAGAACCCGTTCTACGGAGGTAAATAAAACGTATTCTCGGGTCGTCGGATCATTGAGTTTCTGAATCCCTGGATTCGCTGATCCCCCGGATTACTTCTCTCATCGTCCGTCAATAAGATACGTACGTGCGAATCATTTTCTATTAGTCAGCTTCTTGGGAACGAAGTGAAATTCTGTTCATCCGAAGTGCATTTGCCGAAGCATTTGCATTTGAATTATTCGCACTTAACCCTAAATATGGTAGTGCGATTTTTCATTTTAGTTACTTAATAAAGATTTTAATTGACGTTATCACAAATTGAAAATTGCACGGCCACTTAAGCAATATATTCAAGTTAAAAGCAGGAACTTCACTAGTAACTGCAGTAATTAATGTTTCGTCTAAGTATCTAAGTACGTTCTTAGTGCTTACTAAGACTTGAAAGCAGTATAATTTCAGTAAGTTTAGTTATCAGCGCAAACATACACTTTGTATATATATCTGTTCATAATAATAAGAACGTAATATGTAAGGCATAAAATATACAAAAATTCATAGCTACAGTTGTCTTTTTTTTTTAGGAATAAAAAAGTATTGCTTGATAAAAGATAGAATTAAATAATAATTCTTTATAAACAATTAAACAGCGTTATTTTCAGTTTAATTTTCTTATTTATAGCATGAAAAATTTAGTTTTAAATCTCGGGTACTAATTAAAAATAATAAACTTTGTTGTAAGCGGCAAAAAACTTCAAGAAGGGAATGAAAGATCAGGCGTGCTTGAGTCGCGTAAAATCTCGAATGAAAACAAATGATAAAAGGAAAAGGAAGTGAAGCGCTGCCAATAGAGTCGACGAAAGTAGAAAGATTTGCGAGACGAATTTCCGCGAGCGACCCTACTGTGTCCGGCTGAGTAATAATTAGGGCTCTTCGTCACTGGGGTGGTAGGCCAACCGGTGCTTCCACAAGAAAGCCCTCCGATCGAACAAACTTCCTTCGCTAAGTAGCTCTCTGGAGATTAAACTAGGTCTTCATTGCAGAGAAATGCATTATCTTAAAGAGTGAGAAATGACGATATGCATACAAACATACACGTATTTATATTCATTCTCCCGGCTATTAAAAACTATATTATTTAAATTATTTAAACTATATTATTTAAATGTATTATAGTTATATATTTTTTAAATATAAAATATATATAAAATATATAGATTGATTACTAGTTTGATTTTAATTTAATTATGAATATCCGTTTTCTATATGTATAAAATTATTAAAGAATATAATAATTAATATATGTATATTGATTCATTATTTCGATATATTGAATTAGTATATAATTGATATTAATTATGTTTAAATTTAAGTCTCAATAGAAACAAGAATCTCGCGGAGTTTAGTAACAACTTTTGTTAATTTAGATAACGCTAGCTTAGTGTGATGGTGATACGTATAAAACAATAGCCGCGAAATAATCAGAGAGATAAGGAAACAGCAAAACAAGGAACACGACAAAACACACCTGGCATGCTTTTAAGCTAGGCAGTATTTCATAAAAAGGATAAAATTAACAAAAACGGATAAAATAAAATTATGACAATCTTATTTGCCTTTATTTTACAAGTATTAATAGCAAACAGACCTTAATTTATTTTTGTAACTTAATTTATTTTATAACAAAATGAATAAAAACATAAGTTTATTTTTATTTTTGCTATTTTCTGACGTTCAATTTTGTGAAAACTGCGCAATGCAGCGAAAATCCAATGAAATCCAACGAAATATCATCGTTTCGCAAAACCCTAAAGAAAACAATTTCCTCGTCAATCGTGGGATTAGAAGATTATTAACAATGGCGCGGCAGCAATAATCACAATAAATAGAGCTAGCTAACTCAGTGATATTGTAGTAGAACAAATATCCGGGAATGACTTTTCCGGACTGTGTGAACGATATTAAAAGTTATTAATGACGGTCTCGACAATCCTCCCCGTTTCGCTTTATCCCCATGGAGAGGCGAGAATTAAGGAAAGTGCGAACGGACGGAAGGATAAAACCAGAGAAAGATGAAAGTTCAGTTTTCTTCTCTCATAAAAAGTTCTTGCTTCCTCTCACTCTCGCGATAGTACACCACCGTACATCCGTGCACTTGCTACGCGCCGCAGCTATGCCGCAGTCCTCGTTATTATCTCACCGCTGCCATAACGTCATTCTCAAGCTCCGCTATCGTCCGTCTGCTTTGTCGTTATTGCGCGTCGGAAGCACAATGTTAAGCACACGGTATAAATATAAACGATTGTCGGAGCGTAAGAGGAAAAAGGCGAAGATAGCCCGCGCTATACATTTTTGCGTCGTAATCGTCGCGAGCGCGGAAGCTCACAGGACGACGAGGAACGCGAAACTTTATGCACGATGGCATCGCTACCCTTCACTTTCTAACGGAAAATCGCATAGAGGAGGGTAGATGAAGGCAAACAGAAGAGAGATTCACAGCGGATCGATACGCGATGAAACATTAAGATTAACTTTCTCGACATAGAAATGTATCGGTTACGGATATCCTAGTGAGTTTATATAGATCCTATTATACTTGTGATAGTCATATTTATCAGCTTTTTGGATATATTAATTAATGCGATTACGATGATACGATTATATCGAATATATTCGAAATGCGTTTAATTTTAATAAATTCTGATTTCGCATATTGATATATGATC